GGAGATATGAGGCTGAAAGTGGTTGAAAGTGGCTTTCTATTTCGAATGTTTTGTTCGATTTTTTCGAATTTGTTCGGATTAAATTCGAACATAAAATTCGAATTGGTTCGATTATAGAACGATTGAAAACGTTCCAGAAACGTTAAAATTTGTTCGTTTGACTAAACGTAAAAATTCTCTAATTAGTCTGGAAACGGGGGACCTAATTCTTGCATTCTGTGAAAACGGATAAGATTGGCTATAATGTAATTATCTTAATCTTCACTATCGTTACTTTTTGCCCACTAATAAAAACCCAGCGAAGCGGGTCCTTGCGGCTAGTTATTATATAAAAAAGTTTATTCTCAATAGTTTTTAGTTCTTTAGTATATGAATTGAATTGTAAATACAGTGTACTGTATATATAAAAAAGTCCTTTGTATTGATGAACTATTAGTGTTATAATTATATGTTGGTACTGTGTGTTTGTAAGCTGATGAGGGGTCCTTGTACCCGAAATGCATTCTTTCCTAAATTTGAAGATGATTATTAAAGACTAAATTTTTTTGTAAAAGATCTGGCCCTTCTTTCTGTCGGTCTTGGTGTGATAAGCCTTCCAAATTGTTAAAATCTTACTTATTAGGCTATCTAACTCTAAATTAAAGTCATGGACTAAAAGTGTCGTTTATTATTATCGTAATACAGAACTTTTAATTGTGATTGTTAGTTAATTATTGATTGGAAATAAATTATTGATTGTTTTAAAGTGCTCAATGTAATGTTGTGTCGTATCGTAATACATTTATAAAAAAATAATGTAATATTTTATATAAATAGATATACAGTCTCGGTTTTCGAACATAATTCTTTCCTAAAAGTTGTTCTAAAACCGAAACAAATTTTTCCATAACAAACAATGTAAGATGGATTTATCCATTCCCGGCCTCCAAAACAAAACCTCTGTTCTACCTTTTTACTTGTATTTTATGCATAAAAATGCCTACAAATGCAATGTAATTTTATTATTTAATTTGAGTTAAACACCTTTATAAACGAATTTCTGGATGCCATTTATGTTACGTCAATATCAATTAACGTGGTTTTTATTTTTTTAATTAGATTTAAATTCAACTCAGGAGCTTGCTGGAAAACAGAAGTAGTATCTTTCCAGCATGGACATTGAAATCAATTTATTTGGCATCTAATTTATATATTTATAATTATAATATCTATTTTTTAATTTAATTTAAATGGCAACGTCATCGATGTTCGTGTCGTGATGTCTAATGACGGAAGCGATCTCGACGCCACTAACTTTGGAGTAGCTTGTTCGACAACTAAGATAATTGAGTTCGAATTTCGTTCTGTTCGTCAATTGAAATGTTCGAAAATTGAGGCATTCGAAAACCGAGTTATGACTGTATATAAATTTTGTATAGTTATTTTTTAAGATATATTAAATAAATGTATTTATAATTAATTATTTCAAAATGAATATTAACACCGTGCAGTAAAAATATAGTGTATATTCATAAGAACGCTTTTTTTCTAATTTTAACTAATATTGTTTAAGTCATGAAGACTAATTTTTCGTTTTTTAACTTTTTTTGACAATTCCAAAATAAACATAATTATGGATAAAGCATAACCAATCAGAAGAAACATAAAAGCCCCAACTAAATCGTGAACAGAAAGCGGTTTTGCTTGAATGTCATGGTTATTCCTCACCAGTTTTTTATTTCGGACTAAATTCTCTTGGATACGATCTAACTGTGGAATTATCCCCGATTCTGTTAATCTGCGCATTCTGTAAAGAATAAAATTGTCATAAACAAAATCTAATGAGAAAGAATTTACAAATATTTAAATATTTTACTTACACCGTATTGATTTCCTTTTTATATCGGTATCCTTTAGCTATTGCATATATTTCGAATTGAGTGTAGAGAGTATCTTTCGATAGTAAATACTGATCTTCTCCTAATGCACTCATGTACATCAGTTCATCACCTTCATACTCGATAAGAGCGTGTTTAGGTTTCAAAAGATATTCGTAAACATCGTCAGTCGGTTTCACATCTAGTACTTTACCTTCCATTGTTAATTTTTTTAATTCGAAAAACACAGATGATTCTTCTGTTGCATCCTATTAAAATTAAGATTTTTTAATCATATTATGATTTCGCGAAAGTAGAATTAGTCACAGTAGAATATATTTTACCAAAATATATTTTCCTATTCCTGTATGGAATAAAACAGATGCTGTATAATGTCCCTTTTTCATTTCTTCGATCAATTCGGGGAAAGTTTCGGGCACATATTCGTAACCGGAAAAGGTTAGAAAAGACATGAGAGCGCCACCGTAACTAGACACTAAAATAAACAGTGACGTTAACCAACAAAACACCACTATTCTGGAGTATCCTTGAACTTCAAACAAATCGCTGCCTGTAACAAACGACGGGGAATAACATTATATAAATTTCTAATAGATATTAAAATAAACGACTATTACTTACCTTGATTAGAAAATGTTGAAAAAAGTGCCCATAAAATATCATATATTTTAATGCGTTTCGTGTTGTTTATTTTTGAATTCAAATTTAAGATAAAGTAAAAAGATAATCCAGCAACGATAAAAGCGATCAACATGGCTATCCATACCTTTATATTAAAATATTGAGATATTATATGCTTAATAGTAATTAATATAACAAAAAAATGCATTAGTTCTTTCTAAAAATCAAATATTAAAAACTTTCGGCAGTATATTTGTTTTATTAATAAGCTACACTGGTGTTCTAAAGTATTGTACGTATACTGAGTGTATATGAATCAGTATACCGAGTAATATATAACCGAGATAATGTATTGGTGATAAATAATGATTTTGTCTTTATTTTTTGTGTATTCACTGTACGGTATTGAACAAAATGATTATGAGGTCCGCGCTTGTTATTCTCTCAGTTGTCTGCCCGCTGTGAAAAAAGTTTGATGACCCCTGCGATAGAGCAATAGTTTTCAACCGGAGTGCCACAAAATAGTGCTGACCAGAGACAACTTTTCTTACGTGTAGTACTAAAAGTACAATAAGCAATAACTTTATATTGTTAAGAATATATTAAAGCTTCTTGTTTCAATAAAGGTATTATGAAATCGAAATAATATTAAAATCAGATATTAAAAAATTTTATCTACAGAACTTTAAAAAAAATCCATTTGAAATGAAATTGCTATCATGCGAATTTAATGGAGAAACAAAAACCAATAACAAACTGGAATACATCAAATGAAAATATTTTACAATTATTTTTTAAACGTTGAATCATTTATGATATATGTCTAAATAAAAATTTATTTGCTTAATTAATGAATTATTTAATGAATATATTAAAAAGACAAAATTTTAAAAGTTTAAATGCCATGAATATATTTCTTAATACGATTTAATTTTATCATTTTCATGTTTAAAAGGATTCATTCTAATTTATTCCTTCATTCTATTAATGATGCCAGATTTAAGTGAACAGATCCATCAGTTATTTCGGGCATCCGTTTATTTGAGACAAATCTTAAAGTCCAAAACCTGATCAAGAAAATAATCAAAATTTATTTGTTATTTGAAACATCGTGCCATTTAATCGGGACAATGATTCTGTTTGCAATACGTTAATAACAATAAAAAACTTGTAAAAACTATTAGTGTAGAAGTTTAACAAGTGCCTTAAGTTCATTAGAGAAGGCCTTAAACAATTCGATAACAAGACAATATATCTTTATCCTGACATTGATAACGAGACGTATATCGAACTTGCATTTGGATTCTACAACATACAATATTCTACATCGTCCACTATATCGTCCAAGGAAGTCCACGTGTAGTTGTTAATAGATACTTGAGAGACGATTGAACACCATCTAATCTATGAAGTAATAAAACACCCCACGTCGTTGTAGTGGGTTCGTAACTCTCCCATGGGCGTAGCCACGTAGAGTTTACCGAGTTTTCTTCAAGTTTATAACACCTAAATATGGGCCAGTTTTCCATTCAAAACCCTCCCGGGACGCATCCTCTTTCGGTAGATCACCCTCGTGTAGCATTGACGTAACCAAATAAACCGATAAAGCAAACCTGTGCGAATCCGTTTTACTTTTGTTTCTCTTTCTTTAACGTTCCATCCGAAAGCCACGCCTAACAAATGTTACATCTTATTTAAGTTCTTGGTCTTATGGTTGTACTTTTATAATTGATAATATATGTTTGTAGTCAGAAATCTACAAGTAAAAGTTTTTAACTCAGTAAATAAATAAAATCATATTTACCGATAAGTCGAAAGGATAAATTATGGCCAACATTTTTGATAGTTCATTGGGTTTAGCAGTCATAAACTTCACTGCCAAAACATCTCGAGTATTACTGTAATCGACAGCATCGATTCTATCGTATGAAATTCCAGTCGGTAATCCGAGATCTGTCTCCTAAATATAATTAAAATATAATATAAATACTCTGAATTAATGTTATAAATATCTAAATAAATATTATTCATAACAATATCTAAAAGAAATACATTTCTTTGAACGTATCCGATGCGGCCTGTCCAGGAACCATTATCCAGTCTTAAACCTTCATCTACTTCTTCAACTAACTCCAAACTATAATTAATTATAAACGTTAGATTTATAATATTAATTATATTTAGCACATAAAATAATTATATACGAAACAATCTTATTCAGGGCTGAATATACACATGTTATGACTCAAAGCTACAACATTTAGGAGTACCTTTTCCCCACAAAACAAGTTCGAAATTATCTATGACGCTTTTCATTAAATATAAAAAAAAACAACAAAGTTATGAGTTAATAAATCACACATATTTATATTTTTCAAGGCAAAATAAGTGCTCATCATAGTATAAGATTCTAATTTGTAGCTTATTTATCGTAAATGTAGAACGAGGATCTGTGTTTATCTCACTCTGCCGAACGCCCAACTACCTGCATGTACGACCTGATCAGTAGAGTAACTTTATGTTAGTGGGCCTGAATGCAAACAGTTACGAGTGGACCACCATATCAATATCAGAATAAGTTTTCGCGTACTAGTACCGCCCAGAAATTCCGTTACAGACTAGTATAAATATGAATGCCTGTTTTTATTTACTGGCATGTTACCAGTATCTTCGAGTTTTCTTTTTGGAAAATTCTAAAAAGAAAATATTCCACACATCTAATTTCTTTGCACGATCTTCAATGGAAACCAGAGGCAAAGATTGGAAAATTTGTTTTCGAGAAGAACTTATATGTAAGATTATCAGATTAATTTTTAATAATTTTGCATTTAGAGAAAGGGTGCGCATAACTGGCAACTGTGACTGCAATTGTCAAAAAATATATACAGACTGAGCACATATTAGGTAACCTATTGGGCAATAAATGATTTTCGACAATCTTAAACTTAAATAGGTTCTATGGACATCTTTAAACGTACTACGAACTTCTAATAGTTGTTTATCTACCTCAGAAGAGAGGTGGTCGTGGCAAGTATTAGAAAGTTTTGATGCAGCAGAATATAGAACGTTGTCTTTCATTTCAGTCAAATTTCCGAAACATTTAACTGAAACTTTTCAGAAATTAACTTTGCTTTTTGGTCGTTTTAACTGGTTAATATCTTTGCCTCAATCGTAGTCACAAAACAATGATATCAAATATATCGAAGTATTTTCAAAATGCCTGCTTCCTCTCTCTTTTCTGATGATCGTCCGATTATTGTAATTTGAGTTAAATTTTTCATTACATCAGAGTAGGAAACGAAAGGCTTTACGTAGTCATTTCTGGAATCCAATTAGAATCACTTCCAATGGTAGAGTCTGCCAGTGGCTCCAACCAGTGCCGAATGAGTAAAAACTACTGAGCACTGACAGCTGTTCGTGGGTTCGTGCCTGGACAACAGGATGGCCATGTGGAGCTTTTCGGGTTTTCTTTCCGTTTGTAAACCGAAATATGGTCCGGTTTTGCTTAGAAAGTCCTCCCGGAAGACATTCCTCCTCGGCAGATCGCCTATATATCACGTTGCCATATAGCATATACAAATAAACCAAACTAAATCAGTGGTAGGACAAAATGTCGTTAAGGAGATATGTTGGGAGGACTTTAATTTCTGACTATTGTTTAAGGCTATGGGCGAAAGTGAAGTTCTTCAAGAATCTCATAAAACATTCGTATTTCTTTTGCATTATTTACGAAATCGAGAACTAAAAATTTCGAAATTCTTGAAGAAAAATTAAATTAATCAAAAATATTTAAAATAAAAACAGTAAAAGGCAAATATAAAGAAGCGTGATGACAAAATATAATTTTTTGTATTGATAGTTTCTAGTTTGGTAAGTAGCAGAACGTTAAAGTGCACAGCACTTGTTTTCGAACACCTATCGATTACCATCAACCGTCCTAATGTATCTAATATTCCATGTAAAGCATTGTTCAGTGACGCAAAAATTTGATTTAGACACTGCCTACCTAAATTAGTTTAATATAGGATACACGTAAGTTTCAAACTAAACGAATAAACGCTTTGCTTAAGTGCCAAAGCCGTTAATTAAAACCTTCCATAACATTTTATATTAGATTATGTTAATCAAAAAGAAAATCCAGTTAGATGCACCCTCCTGGAGGCAAGTGCCATCTTTTCCTCCCCTGCAGTTACGCCTCTGGACAATCAGATTCCATCCTTCATCATCTTTGGTAGGATAAATGACGAGGAATAACGGCTTCATTTTAAGTAGATGGAATAGATTTTCGTTTTTAAATTCGTATATAAATTTTCTGTTGTGACTACTATTATGAAATTCCGTCATTTTTATTGACTTTTATTGTTTTGTTCAAAAATCTCAATTTACGACACTGACTTTTAGGAACCATGAAGACTGCTCAACGATGGTTTACCAGAAACCAATTAGGTCGTAAAAACGGGAGATCTACTGAAAGTATTTAGTTTTAGTTAAAAATAAAAATTCCCATAAAATAAAATCAATATACTTGAAAATTATTTAGAAAATGATACTTAAATAAATTCTGGACATTTACTGCGATCTCTACATACATACCTATAAAACTAATGCCTCTGAAAACAGGGTGCTTCTTAAATTCAATGTAATGCGTCATAATTAACGACCTCTAGTCTTATTTTTTCGTCACTAATTCCATTACATCATTTAAATTATTCTATTAGACCAATATTAGTAATAGAAAATATTTCGGAGGGAAAGTTAGCTCAATTTCGTTATTGTAACATCGCAAGTACTTGAATAAAAATCCAAGAATTGCAGAAACTTTTTCTGCAATTCAAGGATTTTTCCAAGAAAAAGTTGCATTTCCAATGCTTTAAACATTGCATGTAGGAAAACGTGCACATCGAATCCAAAGTTTATAAGCGTATTTTTTGTTTACTGAATCTAATACTCAGGAACGTGACTAAAACAACGTTAGTATTGATTACGAAGAGTCTAACACGGCAAATGAAGAGGTTTTTCGATTTCGATACAATGGAATACAGTGATACTTACTTACTTTACTTCAATAAATACTGATTCCGTTGACATAAATTTGTCTTAATTGTCTATTTAAAAACCCGTGAGTGGGGATATAGAAATTAAGTCTTAAATGGAGTAAATACGATAAATAAATTTACAACTAAAATGAAAAAAAATTATTGGCAAATATTACATTTTTAAATCGTAATAAACCTACTTTATAAGAAGAGTTAAACTAATAAAACATACATTGTAGTAAATTATAAATATAATGGATACGGCGACTACGATTAATTATATATTACTTGAATCCAAGATGTTCTTGTGTAATTAAAAGAGCATCTGATATACATCCTCCATGTTTGATAAGTACATATGTACCATTAATAACTTCGTATTTGAAAATATGCTCCATCTGAAATTAAAAAAAAAAACAGCATATAATTTTCATTTATAATTTTTATAGTTATTTACTAAAACAGTCAATCATTAAGCTACATATTTAAATAAATAAATATATATTTATATATTTCTGAAATATATAGGTATGTAGAAGAGAAAAGAGTCTATTTGGAGTCCTGAGAGATCTCACAATTGGCAAGAAAAATAGTCCGGAGAGGTACCTTAACCGTTCGTCGATGGCCGAACGATTAATCTCTCTGAGGAACCCAGAACGAGTCGAATAACAGCAGAAATTTTTTAAGATTTGATGGTCTGTCCCGAATATGTCGGGCCTTTACCACCCATCGTATTATTGTGGACTTGGCCGAACCTACGATGAGCCTGATAAAAACGCCTTTTTAGTGCTCACAGGGCTGAAAGAGTAAAACTGGAGTTCTCAAAATGTCCGTAAAGCGTAAGATGTTTTAAAATAAATAAACAGGACTATACTGAAAAATACTTCAAAACGTTAATCTTATCTAATATAAATTATTATGTAAATAGAATCATTAAAAAATTCAAAAAAATACCAAGCTTTAATATTAATTATTAAGAAAAATTAATTATAAATTTCAACTTTCAACTCCTAACCGTTTGGACTCTGCGCTTCTTATTATTATTATTACTTATTATATGGAAGTGTTACATAACAATGGAATTGTTAAGAGAAAGCGACGTGCACGATCAAGACGCAGATGCAGTTTTTTTCGCTTTGCGGGAAATCGAACATATTTTTAGACTAAAAATTCTCTAATTAGTCTGGAAACAGGGGGACCCAATTTTTGCATTCTGTGAAAACGGGTAAGGTTTACTATAACGTAATAATCTTAATCTTCTCTATCGTTACTTTTGCCCGAGCAACGCCGGGCCTACCTGTTAGTTTACTAATATTTTTGTCAAGAATTTGCTGTCACTGCGTCTACATTTACGAAATTCTCTAATAAAAGTGGTATATATATTATGTATATTTTTATACCAGTCACACATCTCATTCCTCTATTCTAAAAATGTTTTATACAAATTGTATAATCAAAAATTATTGAACATCCAAATTATTGAACTCTTTTATTGCCAATTGTGAGATCTCAGGACTCCAAATAGACTCTTTTTATTGCCAATTGTGAGATCTCTCAGCACTCCAAATAGACTCTTTTTATTGCCAATTGTGAGATCTCTCAGCACTCCAAATAGACTCTTTTTATTGCCAATTGTGAGATCTCTCAGCACTCCAAATAGACTCTTTTTATTGCCAATTGTGAGATCTCTCAGCACTCCAAATAGACTCTTTTTATTGCCAATTGTGAGATCTCTCAGCACTCCAAATAGACTCTTTTTATTGCCAATTGTGAGATCTCTCAGCACTCCAAATAGACTCTTTTTATTGCCAATTGTGAGATCTCTCAGCACTCCAAATAGACTCTTTTTATTGCCAATTGTGAGATCTCTCAGCACTCCAAATAGACTCTTTTTATTGCCAATTGTGAGATCTCTCAGCACTCCAAATAGACTCTTTTTATTGCCAATTGTGAGATCTCTCAGCACTCCAAATAGACTCTTTTTATTGCCAATTGTGAGATCTCTCAGCACTCCAAATAGACTCTTTTTATTGCCAATTGTGAGATCTCTCAGCACTCCAAATAGACTCTTTTTATTGCCAATTGTGAGATCTCTCAGCACTCCAAATAGACTCTTTTTATTGCCAATTGTGAGATCTCTCAGCACTCCAAATAGACTCTTTTTATTGCCAATTGTGAGATCTCTCAGCACTCCAAATAGACTCTTTTTATTGCCAATTGTGAGATCTCTCAGCACTCCAAATAGACTCTTTTTATTGCCAATTGTGAGATCTCTCAGCACTCCAAATAGACTCTTTTTATTGCCAATTGTGAGATCTCTCAGCACTCCAAATAGACTCTTTTTATTGCCAATTGTGAGATCTCTCAGCACTCCAAATAGACTCTTTTTATTGCCAATTGTGAGATCTCTCAGCACTCCAAATAGACTCTTTTTATTGCCAATTGTGAGATCTCTCAGCACTCCAAATAGACTCTTTTTATTGCCAATTGTGAGATCTCTCAGCACTCCAAATAGACTCTTTTTATTGCCAATTGTGAGATCTCTCAGCACTCCAAATAGACTCTTTTTATTGCCAATTGTGAGATCTCTCAGCACTCCAAATAGACTCTTTTTATTGCCAATTGTGAGATCTCTCAGCACTCCAAATAGACTCTTTTTATTGCCAATTGTGAGATCTCTCAGCACTCCAAATAGACTCTTTTTATTGCCAATTGTGAGATCTCTCAGCACTCCAAATAGACTCTTTTTATTGCCAATTGTGAGATCTCTCAGCACTCCAAATAGACTCTTTTTATTGCCAATTGTGAGATCTCTCAGCACTCCAAATAGACTCTTTTTATTGCCAATTGTGAGATCTCTCAGCACTCCAAATAGACTCTTTTTATTGCCAATTGTGAGATCTCTCAGCACTCCAAATAGACTCTTTTTATTGCCAATTGTGAGATCTCTCAGCACTCCAAATAGACTCTTTTTATTGCCAATTGTGAGATCTCTCAGCACTCCAAATAGACTCTTTTTATTGCCAATTGTGAGATCTCTCAGCACTCCAAATAGACTCTTTTTATTGCCAATTGTGAGATCTCTCAGCACTCCAAATAGACTCTTTTTATTGCCAATTGTGAGATCTCTCAGCACTCCAAATAGACTCTTTTTATTGCCAATTGTGAGATCTCTCAGCACTCCAAATAGACTCTTTTTATTGCCAATTGTGAGATCTCTCAGCACTCCAAATAGACTCTTTTTATTGCCAATTGTGAGATCTCTCAGCACTCCAAATAGACTCTTTTTATTGCCAATTGTGAGATCTCTCAGCACTCCAAATAGACTCTTTTTATTGCCAATTGTGAGATCTCTCAGCACTCCAAATAGACTCTTTTTATTGCCAATTGTGAGATCTCTCAGCACTCCAAATAGACTCTTTTTATTGCCAATTGTGAGATCTCTCAGCACTCCAAATAGACTCTTTTTATTGCCAATTGTGAGATCTCTCAGCACTCCAAATAGACTCTTTTTATTGCCAATTGTGAGATCTCTCAGCACTCCAAATAGACTCTTTTTATTGCCAATTGTGAGATCTCTCAGCACTCCAAATAGACTCTTTTTATTGCCAATTGTGAGATCTCTCAGCACTCCAAATAGACTCTTTTTATTGCCAATTGTGAGATCTCTCAGCACTCCAAATAGACTCTTTTTATTGCCAATTGTGAGATCTCTCAGCACTNTGTGGGGATCATAGGACACTGTCTTATAATTATTTATTTTTAGGAAATGTAATTTATGCATGTATTGAAATGACTTCTGTGATTTTATATAATATACTTGTTAAATAATAATAAATAAATATATGTACTGTACTGTACCTAATTAAATATATTATTATTTATGTAAAATAAGTAATTCACTTTTAGTTATAGTTAGTTAGTTAGTTTTTTTATGGCACTCAGTTATAAGGGCTGTATACATCTAACGCAGTAATTAAAAAATTTACATACAAAAATATAAGGGGTAATTAAGAAACAACTAATGGGCAAGTGGGGTACATCAACAAAAAAGGTTGAGAACCACTAGCATAGAGACAGTGTTTGTATATTTCAATAGTCTATATTCACACGAAATATAAGAGAAAATGAAGATCACAGGCCTCTCAATACGAAAATAAGAAATAGATTCCAATTAAAAGAGGGATTTCCACTTAACTTGACCGTATTACGAACCTCATATACTGTGCCAGGATCTATATAGCGTTGAGTTATTGCAGTGCAACTTAGCGAGGTTTTCCTTCATTACTTTCGACCAGCAACAATTTTCGAAACTATGTAATTACAATATTTTATAAAATTTTATTTTATTTTATGTGCAACAAATTTTGCACAGAATTTTGTATGTAATAATTTGTTTTAATGGGGAAATTCAGAGCCCTGAAAATATTCTGCGCTTTTTCACTTCGATACGTTGAGCAAGAGTCAAGCTATAAACACAAATTTGTCTTCCACGGTCCTTACAAACCAGTGTTCCATCACTGAAATTTTAGCATCGAATGATTGCGCGATTATCTAAATAATCAATTCAGGGAAGTTTTGTGAAAACATACTACATTTAAGAGACGAATTGTGTGGAGGTTGACCAGAATATATCGTCTTTTTCTTGTACCGTGATAACACAATACCTCACTCAGTAACGAAAAAAAAAAAGAGAAAACACTTAAGAATCTAAAGTTATAGATTATTTTCATTCTTCTTACAAACTGGATACAGCACACTAAAAAAATTGGGATTGATCTAAAAATATAAAGGGGTGTTAAAAAATGATGCTTTTCATCAAGATGCCGAACATCACGATGCTATAAAGGACTAAAAGATGAAGTTTTTAAATTTAAGATCAAGCTAAAATCAGAAAGTTGGCTGTTGTAATCTCGGCCATTAATAAAAATACGGCAACGTTGTGAATTCCAAACTTGTAGCACATGAAAAAATACGTACTATTATTTTTATTGCATTTAGAAGTGTCAAATGAGATCCCAGAACAGGCTGTAATGAAAATGCTTCACTGCATAACACATAAGGAGTTACTATGCATCTAGGCATATAAAGAATGTAATGCGAGAGTGGAAGATCATGCGGTTATGTTTAGTTAATAGAAAAATATCAGCCTCTTAGTTTTCCTGAGTTGTACCTGAGCAGAAGAAGACTCAAAGCCACAGGTTTTAATTACATCTTTGACAGTTATTCTTTTCATATCGTTTACAATAAATTTTAAAATATAAAATCTATAAAATTTTATGCATTAAGATTTATCATACCTGAAACGTTGCAACACGAACAGTGACATTTTCCATGAGTCTCTTCATTTCGGTCTGAAATGTACAAGTACGAATGACTTTTCACAATAAATCGATCTATAGGAATTATTTTATTCAATGGTTAATAATATTATTTCAACAGATTCTAAAGATGTTAGCGTTATATAAGAGTTTTAATCGTTCAGATTGATCGTACCTGAAACGTTGCAACACGAACAGTAACATCTTGCATGAGTTTCTTCATTTCGGTCTGAAATTCACGAGAAAAGTTCTAATTAGTTTATAAATCGATCTATTTTATATTCATCTCATAAAAACATTCCATCTCGTAAATCATCCTTATTATTATGTTAGCTAAAAATACTAATATTAAAATGTTACGAAGGTTGACCTACATTCATTGTTTTTAAAATGAGATTATGTTTTATTACATAATTAATAACAATAAATGTTAAATTTCTACTTACGAGTGTATTGTATATATCAAAAATTCAGCAAATAAACAACGAAAAATCGAACTGTAACC